GCCGGCCGTCTTCGCCACCTTCAGCCGTCCTGCAAGCTAGCGCCATCCGACGGATTCATATCCTTTAATCAAAAGCTTCTTGTTTTATGTGTGTGTGTATCTAAAAGAGCCGAGCGTCTTTGTAAAGATGTCTCGTTTTTCCTCCTGCGGTTCTTGCCGTGCTCCCCTCGAGACTGGAGACCGCCACGTCATCTGCGCTCTCTGCCTCGGATTGGAGCACGCCGAGCTCGCCCTCGCCGATGGCGGCTGCAATCTCTGCGAGGAGATGCCGTTATCGACCCTGCGGGCTCGACTTCAGTCCACAAAAGCTGCTTCCGCGCCGCCTTCGACTTCGCCGCGTAAGAAGAAACGCCGCTCGCAAAGGCCGCCGGAACCCCAGCCAGAAGCGTTCATCCCGCCGGAGCCTGTCGCCTCCCGCTCTCCTTCTCCGCCGCTTCCGGACATACAGTTGCCGCCGAGTGGCCGCTCTGTCGCCTCCGACGACGCCGCGGACATCAAGGAGACATGTTCGCTTCTCGCTTCAGACAGTGAGGATTGGTCCGGTTCTCACGCCTCTTCGGCCCGAGAATCCTCTAGGACCTGCGCTGGAATTGAGGAGGAATTAGTGCGCCTCCTCTCACAGGCCGTAGAACGCCTCGGGCTCGATTGGTCTCCTCCCCCCGAGCAGACCATCAACCGCATGGACGGCAGCTATTTCCGCCAGCACTCGACTCCCGTCACTAAACGGGCCGCGCCCTTCTTGCCCGAACTGCACGCGGACCTCACAATGTCCTGGAATGCCCCGCTCTCTGCCAGAACTCGCTCCGACTCTTCCGCCCCGCTTCGCGTTGTGGACGGAGCCGCAGAAAAGGGCTATCTTTCCATTCCCCCTGTAGAGGACCTGGTCGCCGCACATCTGTGCCCGCCCTCCACGAGATGGCGCTCATCACCTGTGCTTCCTTCTAAAGCCTGCAGAGTGACTTCGAGCTTCCACGCGCGCGCTTACTCAGCCGCCGGCCAAGCAGCCTCTGCACTTCACTCCATGACCGTCCTCCAGATTCTACAGGGTGATTTACTGCGTGAGTGGGACGAGAGCGGAAAAAATCCCCCATCAGTCGCGGATTTGAGGAGCGCTACGGACATTGCCCTTCGCGCTACAAAGTCTGCTGCTCAAGCCCTGGGGAAATGTATGGCCGCCATTTGTGTGTCTGAAAGACATTTGTGGCTCACGCTCGCCGACATGGGAGATTCCGAGCGCGCCGCTTTTCTCAACGCCCCGCTCTCTCCGTCCGGCCTCTTCGGATCTGCTGTCACGGGTATCGTTGACCGTTTCTCCGAAGTGCAGAAAGCCTCCCAGGCCATGAATCTTTTTCTGCCTCGTCGCGCTAGCTCCTCTGCAGGCCGCTCACGTGACCAGCCTCCTGCACGAGCCCCACCCCAGCGCCCAGCTCAGCACAGTCAGACTTCTCAGCGACGCCAGGGCGGCCGCCCTCGTTCTCGCTCCGACAGCCGCCACAGACCGCCGCCTCCCCGTGGGCCTCGGTCCAGGATCACGCTGAAACCCGATCACTCTAAGTCTGCCTAGCACAGCTGAGAAAAAGACGGCGCTCTCCCGCCGAGGCCGGACCGCCGTCAAAGTTTCGCCCTCTGTTGGTCCCCGCTCACGCGGCTACTACAGCAGTGTACCCCGCCATTACCAAGCCGGTTCCCTTTCCCGCTTGCATGAGCACAAACGCCGTTTTCACGGCGACCCAGAGAAATCTCAAAAAGAGCATAAAAGCCTCACGTGTAGAAAATGTGCCCACAACACTGTGTTCACTCATACACAAAAGCATTTCAGTTCCCGTGTGTCTCACAGAGCCCACTCTCATAAAGCGGTTCCTACCCGCTCGAGTGTCAGAGTACATAAGCGCGCCCACGAGCCCGCTCACGCGCTTTCTGCCGCGCATTCACGGTCACCATGTGCTGATCCGTTCGGACAATATGGCTGTGGTCTCCTATCTAAACCGTCAGGGCGGTGTCAGATCCAGAATTCTCTTCCGGCTGACAGAACGCATCCTAGTTTGGTCCCAGTGTCACCTGCTCTCGCTCAGAGCGACGCACGTGCCGGGCCATCTGAACGACGGTCCAGACAGTCTGTCCAGGAACCCCATTCCCCCTGGCGAATGGTCCCTGCACACTCTTACAGTCCAAAAGCTGTGGCGAATATTCGGCAGAACAGAGGTGGACCTCTTCGCCTCAGAAGAAAACACCCACTGCCCAATATTTTTCTCAAAACGCGAGGACGCGCTAGCCCAGACCTGGCCCAGCCGCCCGCTTTATGCATTCCCTCCGGTGTCTCTGCTACCACAGGTGCTTCAGAGAATCAGGGAAACACGCCACTCGGTGCTCCTCATAGCCCCGCGTTGGGAAGGTCAGACTTGGTTTCCGGAGCTCACTCAGCTGTCACAGACAGCCCCGTGGCCCATTCCAGTCAGAACAGATCTCCTCTCCCAAGCTCGCGGCACGATCTGGCATCCCCACCCAGAGCGCTGGGCGCTTCATGCGTGGGTGATCAACGACTACCCGTTGCTTTGCCAGAAGGAGTGTTAAACACGATCATGCAGGCTAGAGCGGCTTCTACTAGAAGGCTCTATGCGTCTAAATGGTCTGTGTTCTCTAAGTGGTGCACCGACAGAAACTTGGACCCACGATCATGCGAGGTTCCTTCCTTGCTAGTTTTTCTCCAAGAGATGCTGGATAAGGGCAGGTCCCCTTCCACTCTCAAGGTGTATGTGGCAGCCGTCGCAGCGTTCGCTGAACCCCGGCGCGGCCAGTCACTGGGCAAAGATGGCTTAGTCATCCGCTTCCTCAGGGGAGCTAGAAGGATGAACCGGAGCTATGAGTTCTCGAAGCTATGAAAGCCCCCCCATTCGAACCGTTAAACACCGTGGAGCTCAAATACCTTTCGCTCAAGACTATCTTCCTGCTCGCGCTCGCGTCAGTGAAGCGTGTGGGGGACCTTCACGCGCTGTCCAGCAGCGCTTCCTGTCTGGAGTTTGGGCCCAATGACTCCTTAGTCGTTCTCAAACCTAGACATGGTTATGTCCCAAAAGCGATTGGTACCCCATTCAGGGCACAAGTTATTTCTCTATCGGCTCTGCCTGCATCCGATAGCGAATCTGACTCTAATCTCCTGTGTCCGGTCAGGGCCCTGAGATTATACTTTACTCGCACTGCTCCGGTCAGACGAGCTGAGCAGCTTTTTGTTTCGTTCGGTGGGCGCACCAAAGGGTTGGCCACCTCGAAACAGACTCTGTCCAGATGTATAGTCAATGCCATTGCAGCCGCATACGCGTCAAAAGACCTGCCATGCCCTCTGGGCATCAGGGCCCATTCCACTAGAGGCATGGCCTCATCGTGGGCTTGGTCCAGCGGAATTTCCATTCATGATATTTGTGTGGCAGCGGGATGGGCTTCCCCCTCCACCTTTATCAGATTTTACAATCTGGAAGTTCCCGCCTTGCAGGCTAAACTACTAGCAGTCTAGTATGTTACAGCTCTTCTGGTTGAGCTGCACTATAGGGAGTTATTCACGCAGACCGGTCTCGTTCTGTCCCTCCTTATCATGTGCTTATGTACTTCACAAATCCCCGGCCCGCTCCGCTGGCCTTTGTCTCATGTACATATTTTATTCCCACTCATAAGGGTTCCCCGGGGTCCCAATGAGAGCAGGTCAGACTCTCATTGGCCGAGAGTTCATTCGTGTCTCCTCATAGGCTTAAGCAGTTCCCTGTGAGCGAGCCAATGAGCTGCTAGCTAGCCTGCTCATGCAGCTGAACTGCGTTGACAATAGATACAAAATTATAGGATAATTTTTGGCTTCAATTTCTCAGAAAAGATGAATCTTTCCCGTAGCGTAAGCTAGCTTACGCAATACTCGTTCCCTCATCTAGAGAGAACCGAGGTTACGTTAGGTAACCGATTCGTTTTACATTATTGAAACTGCTACGGCAGCAGGGAAGATAATGGGCTATTTGCTTTTGACGCGCTGTGTCGTGCCGCTTGAGTCCGCTTGATGATCATGATTTGTGTGTAATCCTGAGTTTATCCTGATGGAAATATAAAGAAGCCTTAAACTCCTACAATCTTTTGAAAACAGGGTGTTTTAACCACACAAACAGCTCAATTTGAATGAAGCGCCCATAGATTACAGCTCCATTTCAAGGGTGCAAATATCTTCAAAATGAATCCGATTCAGTTCCCAGCCCGAGTGTAAATCCTAACGTGATTGGTTGTAGCGAGAACGTGCTACGATTGGTCAGCTCAATGTGGCCGTTATCTGATTGGCTTGAGGAAACGGTGGGTGGAGTCCACTTATTTGTGGATTTGTCTGCACGTCGACGCTAGAAGTGTTTATAATCCACAGATGCGTGAGGGGATTTACAAATGCACAAGAAGCAATTTACAAATGCGTGCAGTGATTTACAAATGCACAGACTGCGGTTCACAAGTAAAAGCCAGGCAGAGTTGTGTTTGTGACATAGAACACATTTGTAATTATTATTATTTTTTTGCAAATCTCATTTTATTTATTTGTGAGTTTTATGCATTTTTGTGGAACTCTTTACATTTATTTGTGGAACTTAATCTATTTATTTGTGAATTTGATACATTTGTTTGTGAATTTCAATCTATTTATTTGGAATAATGCAACAATTCTAACCCCATACTATGCTAGCTGCACAGGTATTGTCAATGGTATGATCCATTACAAGGGTGGCCAAAATTACAATCAGAAGCATAACTCACTTACATTAAATGAAAATGTAGAAATGTTAGCCATACTGATTCAACACACACTTAAACGGCAGTGAGCGACAAAACGCGTTTCAACCCTTTATCGCATGTGCTTGGGCTTTTGAAAAGTGCCGGGTCAAAAGCCAGCTCACCCGTTGCTCCGGCGGCCTTGGATTTGGGACTAAACAATATGGATGTTTGGGAAACCTGTTCGTTATATTTGTCTCTGTTTTGACTTTTAGGTGTCGTATATGGCTATAAGGGTTTGCTGCTGCTTCTGGGTATTTTTCTGGCTTATGAAACCAAATCTGTGTCCACTGAAAAAATAAACGATCATCGGGCTGTTGGGATGGCCATCTACAATGTCTCGGTGAGTCTGTTCATCTTTTCAAACTTTTCAAACATCCCTGTAGAAATTTTAAGGATCGCTTCCCTTGTATGACATTTGAAATGTCAGTTGTCACCCAAAATATTGTCCAATTAAAAGGTAGAACCGTTCAGCTGACGTGACTGAAATAGCACCACAGAGGGTTTTTTTTTTTCCTTTCGTTGCTCAAGTTTAGTTGGGAGTTGGCGTGTGAATTGGACGCAGCATCCTTCTGGAGCTGTTGGGTGTCACAACACAATCATAAGCAGGAAGAACATGCCTGGAGCATTTCAGTGTGGCTCTGCTAGATTTGATGGAAGTGAAGTGTCTGAGCCTGCCATCTCGAATGCTGTCCAGGGACGCAGAGCTTTCCAGAGGACAGGGAAAGGGAGGGAAAAGAGCTTCCCCTCATCATCGGGAATAAGCTTGCATGTCAGTTTGACGGGACTGGAGCTCTAAAGTAGTTAGAAAACTCAAGTAAAGTGGTCCCACAGTAATGTTGAAAGTTGTTTGTTTTTGCCCATCTCATCTGTTCCACTTTAGCGTTTCAGTGCGGCCCTAAGGCTCGCGAGTCACGAAAGAAGCACGTACCATGCTGATAACACCCTCAATATTGAGGGTAAATAAATACATGGGAATCTCTTTTCATTTACCATAAAGACTTCTGGTCTGTTTTCTATGGCGAAGGCTGATTGGAAATGAAGCACAAAGCTTTTGTCAATCAGCTATTTCATTGTAGGCTTTTAATTTGAAGCAGTGTGTTTCTCTCCATCTCGGCCTCCAAGGATTACCCATTATACACTGAACCCAATTTAGGCTCAAATTGAGGGAGAGACTGTAGATCAGCAAGGGGCCAAATTTTGCATTTTAATCTTTTCTCTCTCTCTTTTTTTCCAAGTCGCAGGCTGACTCCTGGCCCTTAGCGAATGCCCATTCTGCTAAAGAAATGATTTCAGATGCCATCTGTCATGTCATTACAAACTCCATCACTTTTTAGAATTTCAGCTGCTTGGAGGACAACAATAAAGACAATAAGAGCTCACCTCTTTCACAGGAAACTGATAATACTTATTAAACTCACATTTTGACTTGTTTGACTCCCAAATCAAGAAATCGAATGTACAATAGAGTTATATATATATATTTACAAGATAGCTGTTATGGTGCTTTTATGGTATTTATTTTCCTTCTTTTTGGATTTTGACAGTTGTGATCACTATTAACTGTCATTATATGGAAAAGATCTGCAGAGATTCTTTTCCACAAAATAAATTATAGTCAAATGGATTTGAAACGACATGAGGATGAATAAATACTGACATACTGTAAATTGTGTCATCATTTACTCACCCTTATGTTGTTCCAAAGCCATATCACCGTGTCCTAACCATACGCGATGCAATAAGATTCCAGCGACAAGCAATTTGTCTGTCCACACCAGATGCGACAAAACTACAAGACACAACAAATCAATCAAAAATCACAGCCAATTGGAATAGTGTGTGGACGAATTCTCTCTGCAAGCACACTGCATTCGCAATGAAATGGATAAATAAATAATCAAATTCATAAATATTACACTATTTTAACATCATTAAATACATACTCAGTGACTGAAATAAACTTTGTCATAGGATACACTTGTTTGTTCAAACTGAGTTGACAGTTTGAATGTTCTTATTTCCATTAATTTATTTTCAAGATCTGAGGTTATTTATCCATTGTCACCTTCAGTTTGGCTATAAATGTCACGCAAAAGGATTTTCAAACTCAAATTAGATGCTTTTAACATTAAATAAAGCACATAATCAATACCTGAGATTATCATTGTTGTTGTTCCAGCCGCAATGTTGTAGAAATAGAAACCATTTCTAAAATAGAATCCCCTGTGGCGTATCACCATCAATAAACAAAAACTCTGAACATGGAAAAGATACCTTTTATCGCGTGTCAATGTGTCGTGTCATGTCTTGTTAGGTCATGGTGCATTGCTTCTATCCTCCTGTGGAACACGAAACAAGATATTTTGAAGAATGCCCTGGTTGTTCTTTTCCATTTAATGACAGTGAATGAGGATTCACTACATTATTTAGCATGGCTGTGCATTTTAAACTAAAACCATACTGATTTTGTTGCATCATTAATGCTCTGCCGTGGTGTGATTCAAGTGTGAAGGCTGCTGGCTACTGCTGTTACTCCAGCTATAAACTGCTTCGATTTATAGAGACTGCTTTGCACTTTTTGCCCTGTCCAAATAACTAATGACCCTGCAAAAAAAGATCACCTCTGTTGATGCCAGGCAACATTTTCTTTTTGCTAGCCTGGATGAGATTTTACTTGTTGTGTGAGAAACGACTGACTGGTGATCAATATTTATTGATTCACTTCTTTCTCTCTTGGTTTCTGTTCTCCACTCCTATGCCTTCAAAAGAAGTATTTTTTTCCACATTTTGTTATATGAACGTGACATTAAAAAGGTTCTTGTAAACATATTATAATTCCTTCATCATTTATTGTTGCTACATTTCAGAAGTCTTTTATGAAAATATTGCTAAATGTTGGCCCACACCCACACTTTCCATCATAAATAATGAAAATCAATTATTAAAAAAACAATTCTTACATGTTATGCTATTCGAAACAAAGAGTCATTCCCCATTTCAATATTTATTGTGTAAAAAATGTAAATAAGGAAAATTTCCAATCATAACATTTAGTCAAATTATGCAAAAAGTGTACAAATATTACTTGTATTTAGATAATATCGAATGCTAGCTACTGTATGAAATTAGCCTTAACAAGACAAAGGACTGTGCCATTTTATTATAAACGTATTTATACCTGTCATTCTGTCATTATGTAAGAATTTGGGACATTTGTTGGCTCAGAAACATAATTCAGAAAAAAATTAGAGAACCCTCTTGTGATGCATGTATATCCACTGATAGACCAGTGTTCCCTTTCGGTGTCACTTCGAGTTACGTCGAATGACGACGAATGGGGTTCGCTTAGAAGCCTCTCATCTTCGAAAGAAATAAAACGAGCCAATGGCAAGGAAATGCCATGGGTCTGCGGAATTTGCATGGCGTAACTCCGCCCCACCGCGTGGGTATAAAAAGAGAACGCTGGCAATATGCAGATATGTTTTCGCTTCGGAGCCAAGAAGTTCTCTTCACTCCTGCAGCCTATTCTCTGACTATCTTCGAGAATCTTCTAGACGAGCAGCTTCCAGTCGGTGTTGGTGTGATGGCGAGATCCAGCGAGTTTCTCATTCCTGCCTGCTGAACTGAACAGCGTGTGTGTTTCTCCCTGGGCGCTTCAGCACTGCTGCGAGCTTTTCTCTCACAAAAAGAGCGTGCACGCGGCACGTCTTTCTAAAGACGATCTGCCCGTGTATTTCTGAGTGCGGTATTCTGATAGATTCAGCTGATGGGCACGAGCGCTGTTTTGACGTGTTTGGGCTTCAATCACGTTCAGACAGCGTTTGTGGATGCGTCACGTTCTCTCCAGCGGTAACATGACCATCGCAATGTAACGGTCGAGACTCGATGAGCTCAATAGAGCGAGAGTCCCCTCATCCACACCCCGATCTATTTTCTCCACGCGAGATAATACTTCGGCTGGTGGCCAGGGTGACCTAAGACGGCAGGTCTGGAACTAAACCGACGAAATATCCTCGGTCCACACCCCGTCTTTCACATTGCAACCCGCGTGGTTCTGAATGAGTCGCGCGATCTCATTCGGTCCCCCGGCTGATGAAATCATGTATATCGCCGCATCACAAGGTGAGCTGGAGTCCTCTGGAGGTGATGGCTCGTCTGTGCTGCCACCCTCGGGTGCGCTAGCATAACGAGTCTGACATCTATGCTTTCCCGGGCCGCCGCGAGTATCGGGCTTGTGTGGAACCATCCGCCATGTCCCGAGCACTTAAGGCTGATGATTGGTTTTTGGAGGAGGCGAACCCAAATCCTTTCTACCCGGGCGTGCATGAAGAGGTCATGAGATCGTGGGAGTCTCCTTTGACTTTTCGCGACTTCTCAGCGGCCTCTTCCGCCTTCTCTGCCCTCGCAGAGGCCGCGCCCAAGGGTATACTGGGGTTCCCCCCGTGGAGTGTTCTGTGGCAACACATCTGTGTCCCACAGCGCCTCCACCTGGCGTGGCGACCCTAAGCATCCCTCCAATGCCTGTAGGTTTTCTGTCTACTCCGGTGGCAGAGACCTATAGAGCTGCGGGGCAGGCTGTCGCCTCACTGCATGTTATTGCCATCCTTCTGGGTGCTCAATGACATGCACGAGGGTAGGGTTGATTCAGGGCTCATTCAAAAGCTCCCTGCCGTCACCGACCTTGCTCTACGAGCGACGAAGGTAACCGCACGCTCCCTGAGTCAGGTGATGTCCACATGTTTGGTCAGACATCTCTGGCTTAACCTGGTGATATGCGCGATATGCTTCCTCAACTCCCCCATATCCCAGGCTGGCCTCTTTGGCGGTGCGGTCGAGGACTCTGCCCAACAGTTCTCGGCTGCCCAGAAGCAGACTGAGGCTACCAAACATGTTCTGACCCCGCGGCCAGCTGCTGCCACCCAGCCGCCGGCTCAGACGGGGGAACGACTCAGTCCACTTGCCGCCGAATGCGCCCTCCTGCCCGTACCAGCCCCGCAGCCTGCTGAACGCCGGGCGATGCGGCGCTCCCGTTACGGGCAGCTCAGACGTGGGTTGCAGTTCTTTCAGGAAGTGGTTGCAGGGCCACTCCTTCCCCCGGTGGAGGGTCAGGGGAGAATCTCTTCTCCAAAGAGCTGCATCCCATCTCTGAGCCCCCAGAGGGCGTGGATGGCAGTGCGCGCCGCTTACAAGCCTCGACACTCTCGTCCCCCTCTGTCACAGAGTTCTCGGATGACAGTGTGCGCCGCCCACGGGCCTCGCCACTCTCGTCCCCCTCTGTCACCAGACCCCTGGCAGAGCCGGCCCCCGTGGAACGCTGGTCCTTCCCTGGCCTCCTCTGTC